ACAGATTATTGAATTTTTTATTCGACTAAATTGTTTTCTGCGGAATTAATTTATCATAATTATCTATACGATTGATACATGGATTCTGCTAGTTAATCGTAGAGGAAATTAAGATGGTAACTCGTTTTGCTGTCTTTTAAAAGATGAAATATTATTGCTCGTCCTTTCCAAGGTCTTTTTTTTCTACATTTTAATCTTCTAAATTCCTTCGCGAATTTCTTCTTCACCAAACCCTTTTTTCTTCTTTTAAATCGTTATACCAGATCTTTCTGGCGCACTGGTTACCAGATGAGATCCGGGATCCATAATGCGGGTTCTTTCGGTAGTTTTTTCCACGACGAAAGAAGCTTGATGGAATATGTTTATTGTCAAAGATGTATGACGGTAGCAGCAGGCTTGTGTGTAGCAAAAAATTATTTACGTTCTTCGCGCGAGTGTAAAATATTATCCGTAAGTTTTTATTTTATATTATGATTACGCAAAACTGATATTTTTTAGGTTAACGTTTCGAAATAAAAGTAGGCAGATTTTATAACGTAACCGGTGGATGCAGCTGCTACTACGTTCACCAAGAAGTACTTTTAAACGACAAAATATTGCAAAAATCCAACATATTATTAATATAAAAGGAATTTCTTCTAGGTTTTCTTCTTTTTAAAAAAATACCCACTGTTTGTAAACAAAAGAAACGTTTCTTTACTGAATCCAAGGGACGTATAATTTCTCGTAGACAGGAATGTATTCGGTTAAGGATGAAAAGGAGGAACTTCGCGAAGAACTCTCGACTCCTTCTTTTATACTCGTTTATTATAAATAACAAGATGTATATTCGGTGCGCACGTGTTGTTTAACCTGTATATTTATATATGTACTCAAGCTCCGTCTAAGTTTATTCCGCTTACTGTACTATACCTTGTTTTTACTTTGAGTTGTTGTCAATAACGTATTTGTTTTTTTTTTTTGTTTCTTCCCGCTACAATCTATCTTCGATGATGCGGCGCGAGGAATTGGAACTTTGCTTCGGAGGCGAAACACTCCGCGTAGCACCCCAGAAACGAAATGAACAAAAATCGTTGACATCCCTCCCGCGGAAGATTGTAGCGGCGTTATTTCAATACCGATTTTGTTGTTTGTTTCCTTTTTCTTTTTTCCCTCGTTTCTCTCTCTTGTGATCGACCGTGTGCAAATGAATTTCGTCTTTTTTTCCTTAATTTTTTAAGCCCTTCGTAACCAACAACCACCTCAGAGTTTCGCACAACCCCCTTCGAGCGTTATAGACATTCAATCACCGTTAGCATCTCAATTAAAGTGCAGACACGATATATATTGTACGTATAATATTCTCGAATCATCGATAATTTCTTTTTTCTCTTTTTTTAACAATTTTTTCGTTTTTTGCTTCTTCGTTTCGTTTGTTTTGCTTTTTGCTTTCCATCTCGATCTCGATTAACGAATATAATATAATTCGTAAATTAATTCGTACTAATGATATGCGTCACGTGAACATCTTCAATGAAAGATCAAAGATTACGATTGGATCTCGTTTGGAACGGTTGTACAATGCAGTGGGTATCACATCATTTCCACGATATGTTCAATCAAATACAATTAATGAGAGGAAAAACTTGCTGTGTGGGACTTGAACGTTTGTGGATCTAATCTGTTCTTGAATGTTTCTATAATGCAGTTCCAAGAGCGATGTGGAAACGAAGGGATTAATGGGTAGTCTCTCTGTCTGTGTGTGTATGTTTATGTGTGTGTGTGTGTGTGTGTGTCGGTGGTCCTTAGAAGCTACGTTTACTCTTTTATAGCGCTCGCGTACTTTTTTTTTTTTTAGCAATGATTAATGCGTGCATACCATTTTTTTTTTGTTTTGTTTTTGTTTCTCAATCCACTCGAAGAATCGAGCCTCAAAGTCACTAGATACTAAGCTGTCGACTACAGATCTGTCTCAATTCGCCGGCCTAAATAACGCGCCATAGATATACATCTATAATATATTCGCTCTTTTTTTTTCTCTCTCTTTATAAACTCTCTTTTACAATGAAACGATTAAACCTTTCGTCCCTCGATACGTCCTCTGTCCTGACTTTCGTCGTGTTTTCGCGCATCTCCTTCGTTCTAGGATTCTCCACCGGAACATACCGCTTCTCTTTCTCCGTTTCTTTTTTTGGTTCGTGCGAATTTGTTCATCTTCGATCGAGAAACGACGTATCGTAACCTTTCGATGATCGTAAATGCCGTCGTACTAAGTTTGCCAAAAGAATTTCGAAACTACCTGATAAATCCTGCTGCGTATCGTTCGTCCGAATTGTTTCCCATTGTTTCTCCACGATTTCTCGAGAATTTTCGTACAACTTGTCTCGACGAGATAAAAGAAATTTCATTGTTTTTTTTTTTGGCTCGAAACGATACGAGATATGTAAGAAACCTGGGAGAGTTCGTTTCAAAAGGGGGGTATTAAGAAGAGAAAGTTCGCGTGGAATTTCCGAAGTGGAATTTCCTCGTTTCTAGAAAAGACGCGCGAAAATTTGGGGAAAATCCGGGGACGTACGGGAGTCGTGATAGAAAACTAAAGGCGTTGAAACTTTCGAAAGCTACGTACGACATCGTGTAGCAGGCACGTCTTATCATATCACGCTAAAGGCTTTAAGAAGCCTGGTAGAACCGTGTTTAGGTACCCAACCAGATACTCCTTGTGTTTTCATTTTTTTGTCATTTTCTTCCATCTTTATTTCTCTTTAAACGACTATCTAACGTACCCTCCTTTTCCTATGTAACTCACGCGGACGCATGCTCTCACTCACACTGTTCACCGCTGTTTTCCCCCTTGTCCCGTCGTGCACACATCCATTCACTCTCTCTCTCTCGTTTTTCTTTCTCTCTCTCTCTCAGCCTAATTATCTTCTAAACGCCGCGAAACTAAAGGAAAGGGTGCGAACGGTGCGCGAGCGCAAACAAATGAACGAGCGTTCCTTTACCGTTCTGCTCGGTCAAGAAAACGTTACATTTTTTTTTTTGTTCTTTTCTTCTTTTTTTTCTCCTTTATTTCAACACAGGATTCAACCCGCCCGAGGACGTGTTAAACGCGCGGATATCCTCCAGGCGAGTTCCCTCGTCATATTATCGTTTTTTTTTTGTATTTTTTTCTGTTTTGTTTTTTCCTTTACTTATTTTAACACGAAGCACATTATCACACGTGCAGGCCTACGAGAATTTTCTTATCGAGAGAACACACGAACGAACGGTCGCGCTCGACCGCGACCGATTGCTTTTTTAGGCTTTTCTCCGTTACTTTTTGCACTATTCCACCGTTTAAAAGTCTCCGTGGAGAACGAACGAAGCGAAGTCATCGAAGATATATTCTTGGACGCATGATCTGTCGATACCTACCCTTTTCCTTTCCCTCACTCCTTTCGTTACCTCGTCGTAATCTATATTTTTTCTTCTAAACGTCGTGTCCGCGACAATTCGCGATTACGAAATCATGGTAACGGTGTTCGTCGTATCGATCGAGCATCGAATGGAATATCTCTGTGTCGTCGCGAGTAAAGTCGGCCGTGTGTGTGTGTCTTTTATATCGATAAGGATGCAACAAGCTACGACGACGGCGCCCGGCGTATTTCACTCGCGACAAGCGCGCGAAAAAGTGTTTCTAAATAGTAGGCGCGGCCTGGACGGGTTCTCAAATTTATAAAAAGGCATCACGCCCCCCCGCGGGTTATCTGTACGGTTTTTCGCTCGAGCAAACGCGAGTTAAATCAGCTCGAATGTGCGTAATGCTCTTTCCACGAACTTGATTCCCTCGGTACTGCACCTACCGGGCTGTTTTCCCCCGTCTCCTCTCTTTCTTCTCATTAATAAACGCGGAAAGCAATAGTGCGCGCGCGCTTCTCTACGATGCAGTGCTACACCACACATGTTCGCCTTTTTTGTTAGGTTTTTCTTAAATGTAACTCGAGAGTGTTTCTCTTCACCTCTCTCCTATCGGTCTCGTTTCAACGATTATTTAGTTTAGAATCGACAAAGATCGAACCGTATCGATCAATTGCTACACGATTGTTTTTATTACACGAGAAGAAATTTTAGATTTGGACAAATTTTGACGGATTTCTCGAATCGATTTTCTTCTCGTTTTTTTTTTTCTTTTTCTTTTTCTTCCTCTTTAATTCTACGTACGTCGTACGACATTGCCTCTGTTTTTCTATTCGTTTCTTCTTTCTCGCCTTGAGATTTTTCGTTAAAAGTCGCGTTATCGTGTAAAATCGTGATTTCGTTGTTCTTCGACGTTGTACGAGAATCGTATCTGCAATTACCGATGAACGCGCGATGGTTGTTGGATTGTTTCTCCTTTTCCTCTGACGCGTCGAATATAATCGCATGGAATTTGAATCGTTTAAAACACGTCCGTCGGCGACGGTGGTATAACGTTTCGTTGAAACTTTAAAAAAATACGGTGTTCCGCAGTGAACAAAGATACCGTAGATAACAACAGTAAAAATCGTTTTAAGTTTAATTATTCGCAAAAATGTCGCAACCTCGGCGTCTGTGTCTCCTTTTTCCCTCGTTTTGTTGCTCTTCGTTAAAAGTGAATTCGCGTTTTAATGTCCGAATCGTACTGAATCGTTTTTAAAAGAGTCCCGCGAACGACAAATCGGGTCGAACGTTGTTCAAAAGTATCGTGTTGTATCGGATGTAACCTAACCGGGAAAAATACGGTTCTGTCGATGTGTTTCGTGAAATGAAAAAAAGTACTACCGACTAATAACCTAATCTACGATCTAAATACGAAACTAAAGGAGAAAACGGTGCTTGCATGGTCGCTACGAAATAATCTTGTACTATTTAAGAGAATTCATTCCACTTGTCAAGTTACCTTAAACGTTGTCATAAATAAAACGGAAGAGAAAGGACGCAAAAAACGAACAAAAACTTACAAACGTATGGATCAAACTTAAAGGTACGCTTAAGAACTAAACAAACTCAAATAACGATGCTAGGTTGGACGAAAAACGGAAAAAAAAAAAAAGAATGAGAAATTAAAATGTTAGAGCCACGTCGATCGTTGCCCCGACGAAACCTTTAAAGAAGTCGATGTTCGATTCGCGTGGTTTGTTTCTTTTCTTTTTCTTTCTTTCGTTATATGCTTTTTCTCAGCTCTTGCGTGCTTCTTTCTTTCTTTTCCTTTTTCGTCGTTCGAGAACAAATCAATGGCGATCATTGTGAGATTTGTCGGAGGAGAGATTTAACAAACGACCGCCTCCGATATGGGATTCTCGGTGATGTGTATAGTCGCGGTGGGCCAGTCGATTTTCTTACTGCATACGTGATTCAGTCCCTCGAGGGAGGCCAGTCTGTAGTCAGCCATTTTCAGTGGTGAGAGCGGTGCCACTGTAAAGAGAAATAAACGAAAATGCCAGGTCAGAGTAATCGGTGTGTGTTTTCGTTTCACGTTCTTCCAACCTCTCGATGTGGCGAGGTTGGCTTTGATAAAAGAAAGTATCCACATATGTATGTTCCGTTCGTTCGAACAAAAACTCATTGTATCACAAATATAGAGGGGGGGGAGGGAAAGAAAAACGAAGGCGAACGAAAACAGAAACATGGTGGAGAAAACAAAGTAGACACTCACAGCTGGATTGTTAAAACGAAAAGATCCGAGAGAGAAAAGAATTAAAGAAAGAAGAACAGACAGAAATGCAAGCATGCAGAAATGAAAAAGAAGAAAATTAGAATTACGCGTGTGTTAGAGTGAAACTGTTTCATGTGCAGAGGCATGTGAATATCTGCGCAATTTGTTGTTTCGCTATTCTACTGCCCAGTATACATATATGTGCGGAGTCTTTCTTTCGCTGTACTTCTTTCTTTTTTCTTTTTTTTTTTCATTTGCGTTAATTACTATCTGTTC